GGAGGTCCGGACTTGGTGGCCGCTCAGCCTCCTGGGAGGCCGGTGGGGTGGGACGGGGTGGAGGCGCCGCCCGGGCCCGGAGCGCGGAAACGTCCGGAACGAGTTGGAGGTTCTCCGCCCCGGCCACATGCCCTCCGCGCGCGGCCCAGTACATTGCTGAGTCGGTTTTCCGACCTCAGCTGTCTGCATCCCTCTCGGCGGCTGCGGTCAGTCTCACCGCCCGTCGAATCTTTCTGTTAAATAGTCCTCTGCCTTCGTGGTCAGATTCCCACCCTCCCCAAGGCCAGAACCACCTTTAATATCTGTGCACCCCCCTAGCCAATGTCCTGCGTGGGTGAAGCGCTCACCCCACTGGTCAGCCGCCATTTAGGAGCGGCTATAGGCTGGGAATTTAGATAATCGGCATTTAAAAAAATTAATCAGGCCCTTGCGGGGTAGCTCAGTTGGTTTAGAGCATTGTCCCGACACACCAAGGTTGTGGGTTCGACCCCCAGTCAGGGCACATACAAGAAGCAACCAATGAATGCATAAATAAGTAGAACAACAAATTGATGTTTCTCTCTGTCGTCTCTCTCCCTCTATAAAATCAATAAATTTTTTAAAAAATTTAATCAGAATCTGTCCTTGTGTTTTTATCTTTTGAGGTCAAACCCTAAGGGGCTGTAGACAAACCGGAGTGTATGTGAATGTGTATAGCCACAGGCACGATGCAGTTTTGGTTTCCACATATTTGTTATTTATTGCAGTTGCAGTACACGTTATAGAGTAATATAGTAAATCTCTATGAAGTCATCTGGGCCTTTGGTTTTAAACTTTGCATGGGGTAGACAGAGACTCAAAAATACCCTGGATCCCTGAGTGGTTTGGCTCAGTGGATAGAGCGTCGGCCTGCAGACCGAAGGATCCCGGGTTCGATTCCAGTCAAGGGCATGTACCTTGGTTGCGGGCACATCCCCAGTGGGAGGTGTGCAGGAGGCAGCTGATGTTCCTCTCTCATCGATGTTTCTAACTCTCTAGTCTATCCCTCTCCTTTCCTCGCTGTAAAAAATCAATAAAATATATTTTTTTAAATATCCTGGAGCCCACTGACCCCTGGTTAATAATGTCTAATCTAATGCAACCATATCATTTACAGATCTAAAGAAACAGAAGATGCCCTAGCAGTTTTGGCTCAGTGGATAGAGCGTTGGCCTGCAGACTGAAGGGTCCAGGGTTCGATTCCGGTCAAGGGTACATGCCTGGGTTTCGGGCTCGATCCCCAGTGGGGGGTGTGCAGGAGGCAGCCAAGCAATGATTCTCTCACATCATTGATGTTTCTATCTCTCTCTCCCTCTCCTTTCCTCTTTGAAATCAATAAAAAAATATTTAAAAAAAGAAACAGAAGAGTAAGTCATCCAACCAGTTAGTGCACTACACCATGTGTTGCTTCCTATTGAATATTCTTTCAAAGATTCAAATAGAAATTGACATACTAGGAAGTACCCAATAAGTGGTAGACATTGTTCTAGGCACTAGTTCGCTTACAAAGAAGACTAAAACAATGCCATATCACCAAGCAGAGTATCCAGTTGTAAAAGAGGATATAAGATATTAAATAATCCTGTATAATGAAAGGCTAATATGCAAACTGTCCCCTCAGGAATTCAACTGACTGGGAGTTCGACTGACCAGGAGTTCGACCGCTCGCTATGATGTGCACTGACCACCAGGAGGCGGCGCAAAACAAAAGAAGGCCCTGATTGCTAGCCAGGCCTAGGGACCCTACCCATGCATGAATTTCATGCACTGGGCCTCTAGTTAACTATAATAACATGGTAAGTGCTGAAACAGAAAAGTGCAAAGGGTAATGAATGACAAACTCTTTTACAATTCCCTTTCCCTCCCATACCGAGTGGGAACAGGCAGATAAATTCTGGTTAATAGGAAACTTCCTACTAAAGAATGGGACCTGAACCAATGGGATCCAAGATCGTATTCTATAATGGCTGACTTCACCTACCAAAAGTCACTCTGGAAATGCCTTCATTACAGGGCATGTTGCTGCTGCAAAACTAATATAGTTTCTTTGGGAGGAAAATAAAGTCCCCACTCTTGGAAACCTTATGGTCTGTTTAGGAAAGACATTATGCCTCTCATAAGAGAGCCCCTGATTTAACAGGAGAGTTATTTCCATGTGGATACCCCACTCAAAGAGAAGAGGTGGGTTAAGGAGCATGCCTAGGCCCAATCTAGGAGAGTTGTCAAACATTGGAAATTGAACGAGATAAAGAATATCATATTCGCCCTGGCCAGTAGTTCAGTGGTTAGAGCATTGGTCTGAGCACCAGAGGGTCTTGGGTTCCATTCCCTGTCAAGAGCATGTACCTGGATTGCAAGTTCAATCCCTGGCCCTAGTCAGGGCACGTTCAGGAGGCAACAACTATCAATGTGTCTCTGTCACATTGATGTTTCTCTCTCCTCCTCCCTCCTTCCCTTCCACTCTTTCTAAAAACCAATGGAAAAAATATCCTCGTGTAAGGATTAATAAAACAAATAAACAAAGGAATATCATATTTTATAGATCTCCTTCAAGGGAGGATTGAGTGTGGTTGAAAGGAACATTTTGCAAAGTCCCTGTGGTGGCAGTAGGTAAGGGTAAGCTCCTTCCAAGGATTTTACTCAAACAATAGCCCTCCAGTCAGGTCATTGTGGCTCCATGGTTGAGCGTCGACATATGAATCAGGAGGTCACGGTTCAATTCTCAGTCAGGGCACATGCCTGGCGTTTCAGGCTCGATGGCCAGTAGGGGGCGTGCAGGAGGCAGCTGATCAATTATTCTCTCCCATCATTGACTCTCTCCCTCACCCTCTCTGAAATCAATAAAAATATATATATTTTTTTAAATAGCCCTTCCAAGGAGGATGGATCACATAGAGCATATGTCTTGCTGACTGGGGTTTGCAAGTACCTCTACTGCAACTCATGGTCCACCTTTGCCCTTTCTCCATGCAGCACTCTACCTCTCTAAAAAGACATTGAACAAATGTCTCAAAAATACTCTGGAGCGTTGGCCTGCGGACTGAAGGGTCCCATGTTCGATTCCAGTCAAAGGCACATGCCTGCAGTTGTGGGTGTGCGGGAATCAGCCAATCAGTGATTCTCATCATTGATGTTTCTCTCTCTCTCTCCCTCTCCCTTCCTCTCTGAAATCAATAAAAAAAATTTTTTTAAAAAAATACTCTTTGGAACTTTGTTATAAAGATTAATTTATCATTGTTCTATATATTACCTATACATTTTTTATTTTGTATGCTATACTTCACAATAAAACAAAGTGAATGTTGCCTTCTTTTAAATAATTGCAAATTGTTTACAATCTATCTACAAATTATATTGGAGGGAAAGAAATGCTGTAATAAATTCAACATAATTCTTGTGACCTACTCTGAAGAAAACAAACCAAAAAACACCAAATTTCTGAAATTATTAGAATAACTGCTAAGGCTTACAAAAGAAGATCATTTTGAAATAACATCCATATGTCTCAGTTCAGCCATAAGGGAATTCATTTATCCCAGGTTACCTAATGATTGAGTGGCAAAACTAGAACTAAGAATAAATTATGACATAATCTTCACCTTGGAAGATATATTCTGCAGATATTAACCTGACCTAATTTGATATGTTTCAAATAGATCCTGGAGATGAGAACTTTTCTTGTGTTTTTATTTTAATTTGGTATTTTGTATCTAAAATGATTGATTGCCACATTCCATGTTTTTATGATGAAGAAAAAGAGGCTCAAGTTAAACAATAATCTGAGAGACTTAAAATTTTACTCATTATTTTGGAGACTTGATAATCAATGACTAACTGAGGAACATGATTTTTCAAAATCTCTGTTGACTAAAGATAAGGCTACAAGCCACAGCAGGCACAAAGACTAGTACACTCATAAGGCTGTACTTTTCCCTTTGCTTGGACTACTTCTAATACCTAAGAATATTCATATTGGCAGTCCAAACTGTGTGTATTAGAAAATTAGTTTCATGGGATGCTAAATAGATGTTATCCGAAAAAAACTGTTCCAGGTCCAAATAAGTTTAGGAAACACTAGTCAAAATCAAGTTGAACTGCTTGCTTTACTTCTCAGAGCATTTGATATGGTAATGTGATTTGCTAATATTGAAGGGAATGCACTATATAGTATGCAGCTTTCCCCCAAGGAAACTTAATTCTCCCAGAAGACTTCTGTACAGGGTTAATGTTTCTTTGATCATCCATCTATAAAGTTCTATTACAGGGTTTCGATTAGGTTGGCACTTCCCAAAGACCTCGGTCAGATATCCAAATTCAGTTGTGTATCAGATGTTCAGAGCTGGAAAAGGCCTTAAATTATCAAAGGTTAACTTGTTACATTGCAAAATTAGTGGCAATGTGACAGAACCAAAACTCGGATTTTAAATACTCAATTCAGTGAGAGTGCCTTGCAGGTTCATCAAAAACTTGAATTTAATCATGTGAATTT